GTAATGATGCCAGGCTGAACAAATTGCAAAGCAAAGGGAATGTGTTTAAATGTAGTACATGGAATTATCGTGGCAGCGACATAGAGAGGAGATCAGAGAGAGTGGGATCCACTGGGAGTGATCTGCCACTCTCGGGACAAAAAACATGAACCTGGGCTCCTGTGATGAGTTCGGCTGTAATACAAAGTAAAATGGAATGCAAAATAGGACAAACATGCCTTACAAAGGACACAGCTCCTGAACTCCTGAACTGAAATGTGAGTGTGCAGGCTTGTTAATGCACGTGATGTGTATGCAGACAGAACATGGTGGCCGAAGCCCCCCCACAGTAAAACACAGGTTCCCCTCTGCTCTTCATCCAGCACAAATAAATACAGAAAGAAAATATCTGACTGCTTTCAGCAACAGTTAAAAAATAAAAATCTAGTCTTTTTGTTCAACTTCTTAACAAGACTTCAAGAAGGCTCTGATTCCAGCTCAGCTCCCCGGTAGAGTCCAGTAACTATGTGGCCCACATATCCCAGTGGTTCATAATCCAGATAGACGCAATCAGACAGATACAGAGGAAGAGCGTATAGTCGCCAATAATAAAGGGAAAAAAAGAGGAAAACTTACAGATCTTACAAATAAATAAATAAGTAAAAGTTGCCCTCTCCACATGCTTTCTGGGGCCGTGCATCTTGGTCTCTTGGCTCAACATCTTGTTCACATGTTGGTCTTAGTGGGCCAAGCAAACAAGGGAGGAAACTTTCCAGTGAATAACGCAGGCGTAAAACTTCTGATTTTCCTACAGGCATGGGTGAGCTGTAAATACGCTTCTCCTGCCAATAAGTCATATGAATAGGTTTAATATCAGTTTCAGAAGAACTTTAGTTGAACAGATGCTGTTTCCAGTTAGCTGTACCAGATCTGTACTGAATTAGCTGCATGTAAGCGCTGCGTAAAATCAGAGACGTGAACGTGGCCACACATTAAGACAGCTTGTCAAGACACGGCTCAAGAAGAGGAAGTTCTGGTCTCGGTAACAGTGCAGCTGCATTAGCCTGTGAGCTACTGCAGCGTCTTCACGGCAGCTTATAGGCTGATCTCTTAATCAGTGTCCAGAGTGTGCATGAGCCGTCTTCTGAAGGCTGAGGCTCTGTCCATCCTGCCTGCCCGTCGCTACTGCCAGTCCCAGCCATGAATATGGAGCTGTTCTGTGGCTGGGAGCTTGCTTATGTTTTCTGTCTGATATCTAGGCCCCATTCCCATTTCAAAGGGAGGTCCACCCGGGGCCTTGACTTTTTGATCTGCCTGGCGACTGAGTCGACCACCTGCATGTGGGATCAGCTGCCAGCGAGAGCAGACAACCCCTCTGCTTCAAAATATACATCCTCCCCCCCTTCGTCCTCCCTTCACTGCTTCATTGCCCTTCACTGTGCCCCCTCCCTCCGTGAGGCTGCCAGGAGCCCCAGTGGTCCTAACTGGGTCTGGAGCTGCATCCCATTCCCAACTGTTCTGACCACGGTGGGTGAGATGCTTGAGATGTTCAGAATAGCGGCAGGAAGGATGGAGCTGCAGTCAAAAGGCCATTTTGCATTTATGAGATGTCACAGTGTCAAGATACTACAGAGGCCTCATTAAAAGGTCTGTGGCCTTCTAATCAGGACCAGTGATGCAAACTGTGAGCCCCTCCCTATGCCAAACCTACATATACATCAAACTAAATAAAACCGTGGAGTGACCAAGTAGTGGCACATGACATGTGAGAGCGTCGACATTTACAAACCCTGGACACAACCAATTATAACAGGGTTTAATACTAATTACCCTCGTTGGCAGTGATGAGTTTCACAGTCAGGAATCTGTAACAGTTTGTTGTCTAACAAAGCCACAGTTATTTGAGATGTGCCTGTTTCTGATTGTTTGGTACAATAAGTGATATTCACAGAGTCTCTAAGTTAATTGGCTTTCTTGAACCATGACAGCCAGCTTAATGAGTGTCTAATTGTTTCTCAGCTGGGGTGACAGCCACCAGACCAGAAAGACACTTCAAGAAGAGGTGTGAGTTTAAAAGGAACGACACAAAACAATGGAAGAAGACTCGCTTTATCCTGTGGATCACAAGAAATCCCTCCACTTACACGCTTGTGTCCAGAGTGTCCATACGCAACTTCAGAACAGCTCCTGTTTCCATGTACAGTAGCTCCTCTGGGCCACATTTCATGAGCAAAGATGCTCCAGCTCTGTGTTACTGATGTAAACCAACCGTCTAACGCTCTGGGCTTGAACAAAAACTACATGGTAGCTTTCAAACTTAAGTAATTGCTGCATTTGTACAAAACCAGTGTGAAAACATATTGAAGGAACAATGTGTGATTCATCATACTGCTGGAGTTCTCGTGTCCATCTGCGGCTCGTGTTGCACGTGCACGGGTTCTACTGTGCACGTGAACAGGTTCTACTGTGCACCAGCACCTGTCTGCACTACAGCTGGAGCTGCTGCAAACAAGTGGAGGACGACAACGCGAGCGCGATCCAACTCCTACAACAACTCCAATCGCTTTGACATTGGCAAACAAATACACAATTAATCAAGAGGAAGAAAGCAGCAGGAGGAGGTGGAGGGGGACAGGGATAATCAAATGAATGGGGAAATGAAGAACAATTTCCTAGACGGGGGGTGGGAGGAGGGGACACCACTGAACTATCCTGAACTTCATTTTTGCTCTCAGTTCTGCATCTCTGGTTATAAATGACTTCCGATTTGATGTTTCCAGCCCACAACCTTAAAACAAAGAAGAAGAAGAAAAAAAACACTTTCTTTTATTCAAACAGCAAAAAAAAACTGAAAGAAAAAAATATGTTGAAGGAAGGCGATGGAGGAGGAGGAGGAGGAGGAGGAGGGGGTGTTATCAAGCAGAAAGGCGGGCAGGAGAGGAAGAGGCTCTGGGCCGGGCCCCACTCTGGAAAGCCCTCATAAATCCTGATTTGAACGGGGCGCTAACCAGAGGAGCTACGGCACATCAAGAGGGGCGGGTGGGGGGCTGAGGGGTAGGGGGGTGGTGGTGGCAGCACGCCTCTTAAAATGCTACGTCTGATTAAGTCTTCCCATTAGGTGACAGCTGAACTTTAACATTAATATGATAATATTGAAATAAGTGCGTGTTATTTACTTCAGCAGCACAGGGGGGTGGAGGGAGGAGGAGGAGAGGGCGGAGGGAATGATGAATGATTTCTGGACAGCTTTGGGTGACATGCCAGGCGAGCTGACCCCCCCACCGGCGCTCCATCCTCCTCCTCCTCCCATAATCAGACTTGACAAAATGGAGACATATGCAGAAATATTGGTTACAGTCGGCGTCACAGCCCCGCTCAGGCCTTCCCACTCCACGATCTGCCGGCCGCCCTGTGAGCCGCCCTCCAAATTGTCTATGGGCACTGAAGCATCTATTTCAATTGGCACTTCCTTCCTGCCCCAGGATTTTACATTTAGTCTGTGTCATTTACATATTACTCTTAATCAAAATCCACAGCGGGCGACAAGGAGAGGGGGGAGAAAATAAAACAAGAGGGAGCAAGAAACAAAACCGTGGCGTCACGGTTCAGGGGTGAGCACGCAGCCACTTTATGAAATGGAGATGTGACAAGACATTACGGTGTGTGTGTGTGTGTGTGTGTGTGTGTGTGTGTGTGTGTGTGTGTGTGTGTGTGTGTGCATTGGGAGGCGGGTGCATAACATAATGCACGGCCCATTGAAATATTTGCGTTTGAATGCTTGTGTTTGTGCGATTGTTGGGGGCTGCCTTGTGCACGGAGCAGCCAGAGAGAGAGACAAAGACGGCGAGTTGGACACGGCAGTAAGTGCGTTTTGTGAAAAACAAAGGCAAAGACAAGAAAAGAATGGAGACATGTACAGTGCGCTCTTGTCCTTTTCAGCCTTTTTCTGCAGGAAGCAATAGTGGACTTCTCTCTTCACAGCGACAGCAGCTCTGGGTTTCACTGAGCAGCCATTTGTTGGTTAAGTCAGTTTGTTTAATTACTGTCTTGACTTATTAGACTCAAAACGGATCCATGGAGGACACATGGCCCTTTAACATTACATCAGTTTAAAGTAAAACCCAGACACCACATTTAACCCTCTGAACCCCAGCAGCTGGAGGTGTTCTGATCCGGTCCCGTTTGTGCTCACTGTGGACTCATTTTTCACGGCAACATAAAGTCCAGTGTTTCTGTGCAGTGTGACACAGTTGTTACGCCATAAATCATTAAAAATAGAGGAAAGTTTAATTTCTTTGATTATCTATTTTATAAAAATGGAAAAAATGGAATTAACATGTTCAACATTTTCCACAGGTGGCACCAATTGTGGAGGGAAAAGAAAAGAAAAGAAAAATCTTCAAACACTATTAATAATTCACTCCTTAATTAATTTTAATTTGCTTCCAGACTGCTGTCCGATCGGCTCGGTGGAAACACAGCCTGCAGTTCAGCTGAGATCCAACTCTGAACTCTGTCATGTGACTGTTGTGCAGAAGAAACAGAATCTTTTGTTTTTTTGCAGAATCTGAGTCGAACAAACTGTTTATTTCTGAGAATGTTTGAATGAGTCGAGTAGAATAAAGTCATTCTGATGAACTTCACTTAACTTTCTCGGTGCAGAAACACATCAGACTAAATTATTTTAGGCACCACTGCAAAGTTGGAAATCTGGCGATTGGTTTGTTTCTGGCTCTGACAAATGATAAATAAGTTTCAGAGAAGATAGTATGCTTTTGAAACACGGCGGCGGGTTTTGGGCTCCAGAGGATTACTGTTGGTTATTTTCTAAGTAGTTGTTTCATAAATATCATCCAAATAAATGTTTCTTGTTGGACAAACACCACTGGTCACTGCAATAAATCCAGAACAACATTTATGTTGAAATGCAAAAGTTTCTGAATCATTCATCCTCAAGCTCACAGCACTGTTCAAGCACAGCGTCCACAAAGAGGTGCAGAAACAGCGTCCCTACCTGCCTCTTACCTTCTCAGCATGCCGGTAAGGATGCGGGAACTCTTGCCCAGGTTGGCGTCTGTTTCTCTCAGCTGGAGGGACAAAGACAGGCTTTAGCTTCCATTCTGAATAAACAACTGAGCAATGGCATGAAACACAGTCTACGAACGGACTAAACGGGTCAAAAGCAAAGAATATTCATGATTCTGTCAACTTTGAACTTCCCCATAAAAACACAGGTAGCAGTGACCAGCTGGTCATGCAGCTGGAGGATGGGGAAGGAGTTTGTTCCTGAACTTTTGTAAGTGGGGAAGCTGCCGATGAAGGCACTTCATGTCTGCAGAAGCCAGTTATTAGACTCTTACTGTATGCATGTACACTTCTCACAGACTCGTACGACTGGCCTTCAGGCAAAGTGCAGTTTGAGAGAGACACCTCTAAAGTTTGACACTTTTCACCCAAAGTCACTGGTTGCGAGCGAGAGAGATGAATCAGACATCCTTTGATTAGAAGCCTCCTGTTTTACCTTCAAGTGACTGTTTTACCTGTCTGGAGACAAGCCTCTACAAACCCCCTCTAAACACACTTTTAGAGTCACTTTAAAAAGCTGCTGATTTACCGAAACATAAATAGCTCCACTTCATAAAATCGATGTTTGCTTCAAATTTTTTTTGAGGCCACGGCGTATAAACCTGGTACCACTGTGAGCTGTTTCAGTGACAGGAAAGCTTGTCTTTTAAAGGAATAGTCAACTGCACACTTCCACTTGGTAGGACATGTCACTCATGGCCTCCTGCTGCAGAGCGAGCATCAGAAAAGAGTGAGTGGCGCCTTTACTTTGGACGTACACAGCGAGCACAGGGAGTCCTTGAAGGCACCCTTGAAATAATGATCATGGCTATTCAGGACTAATTGCCTTGGATATTTCCCTTTTCGTGCTCCATTTTCTTTCTTTTCCCTCTCGCTGCCTTTTTTCTCCCCCTCAGGGGTCACAGGAATGTTTTCATTGCACTCTCTTATCAGACAGAGGGGCTTTCACAGGGAGGCGGATTTGGCAGAGATGTTGGCAACAAGGTGTGAGTGTGGAAGTTAAAAAACAGAAATAAAATGCTGACACCGCACTGAATGAGCTGCCACTAACGTCTACCTGTAGTCGCATTTCTGGAGGATGATGGGGGAGTGTGGGGAATAGTCGTGGTGGAGTCAGCGGGGAGTCGTTCATCTTCATCCTCCGCTCACATAATAACCGCTTTCCCAATAAAGTCACTTTCCCTCAGAGTGTTGTCATCAGTGTCTTACAGCCTCTTCCTTTTTGGTTTTAATTCTTCACTTTCACACGTCTTCTTCCAGAACCCGTCCTTTTCTCTACAATGGTTGCGGCAGCACTCTTTCCCCTGTTTGTTCTGCCTCATCTCGCAGTCATCTCTCCTGCCTGCAATTCGCCCTCTCTTCCCACCCCTCCTCCTTTACTGCTACTTTCTTCCTCTTTTTCCATCTTTCCTTCCTACCCTCTGGCAGCCCAGGCTGGTGCGATGCAGGTTGCCAGAGCCAAGGATACATGTGGTACAGGGTAGGAGGTGGGGGACCTGGGGTTTGGGCCCTCTGGCAAAGACAACAAGTCCAGCAGTTGCCTGATGTCTGATTCTACCCACAGATCTGTCCCCCAGACACTTCACACTTTCTCCCAAAATACATCTCTCTCTGAATCATTCCTTCTTTCCTTTCCCCTTCTCTCTCCCTCTCTCTCTCCACAGCTCTCACCAATCAGCATCTTATGCCTTCCTCCTTAAACTGAAATGGAAACCCAACAGAAATTTTAGTGCAGTCGAGTGTCTAAAATTAACTGTGGTCGCCTATATGGAGAAAATGAGAGGAAGGTGTTTCGTCCAACTTTCTGTATTTTATGAACAGCTCAGAGACAGAACCACCTCTGAACACACCGAGGGTTCAAACACATTCATGTGCTGCTAGCATGATCAGAAATTAAAGCTAATTTACATGTAAAATTCTAAATAAAGTCTGATCTATATGTTTTCAATATATTGTGCAGTAAGCGGGCGTTTGGTAAAGCAGCCACTCAGGTGGTTGGGAGTTGGGCGCATACAGCTCTGACCCTCTACTGACTTGTATTTGTACCATGAAAGCGAGACAAAAGGCCAGACGTCCTGCTGGGCGTGGGCTCTGCCTTTATATGTGGAAATCTGTCTGCACATCCGTGGCTTTACTCACACTAAAGCTACGACTGCCCCTCTTTAATGCAAACGAGCCGCTAACCAGTCCTGCTATCCGTGTCTTTACATCTTCTTTTGACTCTACTTTTGCCCCACAAACTGCCTTTAAAGCCTTCAGTGTGAGTGCATTTGTGTACATGTGGTGGGAGGGGGTTCAGCAAAGAAGGCTCATGGGAAGAAGGGAGAGAGAGAGCAAAAGAAGGAGAGAGCAGGTACTCTCAGTAGACACTATGGACCGTTTTGAAAGGAGATGTTTGATTTCCTTTGAAATCGCCTGCGCGAGGCCCACTGCCATGTTGTGATCTTTAAGCATTCTGCGTTGAGGGGGCCAGCAGGGCCGGGCCCCTTCCTGGGCTCGGGCTGCTCTGTCTCTGCCTACCTGTCTGTTTGGCTGGCTGCATGCGAGGAGGGGCAGCACTGAGGCTTGGGATGGTGGGGGGCGACTCTCTGAGGGGAAGTGGGAAGGAGAGAGTGAAACTGGAGAGGAGTGCTGAGAAGCAGAGGAGGGTAGGTGAGGAAGGATGGCAGGTGGCAGCCTTCAGCCCATTCAAGTGAGAGGAAAACGGAGGGGAGAAGTCCTGGAGAGGGGCCACCAGGCGGCTGATTCTACTGCATGTAATGTGGAAAGACACGTTCTACATTTCACTTCTAATTAAGCAAAAGAAAAACAGTCAGATTGTGAGTGATGCCAGTGACTAAAAATATCGACCTGAGCGCTAAAACGGTGCCGTCTATAAATAACATGAAGCACCTTCTCACTGCGGTTCTACGGACTGAGTGAGCGCACAAGTCCAAGAATGCCCGAGACTGTGCTGACATTCATCTGTGTTTACTTGGCAAGCAACGCAAAGAGTGGCAAAAGCTGAGTGCGCTGGTAACCAGCTGTAACACCTCACAGTCCTGCAGACACCTGGAGGAGGAGATGCACAGGTGTGTGCAGGTGTGTGCTCACCCTCTCTCTGGCTCTCTGTATCTTCTCACGATCGGTGTGCAGGTTGGCAAGAATCTCCTGTCCCACTTGTTCTGCAAGACACAAACATGGAGCATGAGGAAGACGTATGTTCAACAGCTGCACAAGGGAACAGGCAAAAGTTGGAATCAATAAATCACAACAGGAAAAGACTGCAGGTACAAACATCCATGGAGCAGGACTGTCCACGCTATGAAAACTCTAATGACTTGCAACACATTTATCACATGTCCCGGTCTGACTGGTTGGGCTCTGAGTGTATATGTATATATGTATATATGTATAGACCATCCAGCATCATAAGGGGCCTTAACGCCACTCAGCTCTCCACGTTTCACCGCTCTGAACAGGAAGGAGGAACTTCTGACTGCATTCACCTTCTTAAACCCAAATCTGAGCCACTGAGCTTCTCTGAGAAGTCAGAGATTCATCAAGCAGAACATTCAACCACTAAAACTGTTTCTGCTCAGGAATGACAGTGAATAACTAGAATTTAGCATCTTCATCAAGAAATAATAATGTGCTTCATTATTTTTTCTGTTTTTTTTTGTAAAACAGTACATTTAAAAATTACTGGATAACAATAATAATTATATTTTAGCATGAGAAATATGATTTTGGTTGAAGAGCTCCTACATACTGGAGTATGAAGCATTACAGAAACAGAGAAATGATTCTGGTAATTAGCAATGCTGGTAAATTAGGGCACTTTTTTAGCATAAAACTGAAATTGGGTGGCGGTCTAATACATTTGCTGAGCACCGTATGTTCCCTTTCAGACATGCTTCAAATAATAGTGTGATGTGGTTTTTATGAACCTGGACCTTTCTGAACCTGGATGAGCACATGTGTGTGTCAGAACACTGCAGCTATAGGAAGTGTTCAACCTCCTTCAAATCCTGGAGTAAACAGACATAAGCTGTAAGACAACAACACCCCAGCATCCTGCCTGCCAGTGGGGTCCAGCCAGCCGATGCAATATTCATTAATCTGTTCCTTTTTAAACGCCTCTCGTCAGTTGTAGATGTAAACACATTAAGGCACGCTTATAAAACATCCCCAACAAGGCACCTGACAAGCTTGTCAGTGGTCACTGTCATTTTCCTGTCCCTTGGGTTTGGAATGAGAAAAGAAAAAAAAAAAAGAAAACAGATAAACCAAATAAGTTTCCCCCCCACCACCGCCGCCAAAATAAAACCCACCGCTGCCATCAGTGTAACCATACTGCTACAGCATTAGTGTTTAAAAATGAGGGAGGCAGAGGATGAATCAGGGAAAAAAAGGAAAAAAGTGAAGAATCTTTGCATGGATCAAAGACAGGCTTTCAAGCGCACCAAACAAATCCGGAATAAACAACACAGTTGCTGACTGTATTACACTACACAGGTGCCGCACACCAAAGGGCCCACGTGCTGAGCGCCTGTTTGGGGGGAGCAGAGCAGAAATGGGCTACATCTGGCAGCTAAACAAGAGAAGAGAGGGAGAGAGAGGAAGATAGAGAGCGATATGGAGGAAGGGGATCAGGGAGAAGCAGAAAAAAGAGAAAGCACTGTCAAATGAACGACATTCGTCTCCCATTCATCCCGTCCCTCTTTACCCCCCTCTACACTGTAACTGACTCAAATGTGTCTCTTCCTGCCTTCATTAATTTCTAATCTGGGACGAGACAGATTGAAGGATACCCAGATTAAACAGTGCAGTCAGACAGTCACATGTGACAAATAGGGCAGATTAAAAGACTGAGTGCAGGTATTAATAACCATAAAAATACAAGCCCTCCCCCGTCCCGATCGGAGAAGAACAAGGGATAAACAGGAAGGGAGCCGAGGCGGAAATCTTCTGTTAAAGAGACAAATAAGCACATCTATCCATCTCTGTCAGGGTTGTGGCTTTTTTTTTTAAATAAATGAGTGTGACAAGCACTGCCGCAGCACAGTGTTTTTGATGGCAAGTGCATTATTGGAAAGGTTTGCGGTGTGTAAAAAGATGGATGAGCTAGCGGGAGAAAGAGACCTGTGAAGAAGACGTTTTACTCCAAGTACTGAGCCATCATCGCACACTTAGTGTACGAAGGTGTGTGTGTTTTCTTCTTTCTTTTTTTAATTATGGTTTTCGTGAATGTTTAAGTCACAGGCAAGTATTGCAACAAAAAAGGGAAGAGGAATGATGAATAGCCTTGGCAATAAGCTACCTTTCAGCGGACAAGAATGGAGGCACAGTGGATTCAGGCTTGTGTATATTGTCGGGAGCTGTGGAGAGCACAGTGCTGGTATTATCTATAGAATGATGTGAAACCAGCGTTTCTAGTAGTGCCCTCACTACAAACATCCGCCACTGAATGTTTTCAATGCTGGGGGATTGTACAGGCTATCCACGAGTGAATGCTCGTCCTTGACCAACATAACAGCTGCTGAAGTCAAATAGGAAAATTCACATTTCTTTATAATTACACTAAGAGTTTTGTTAAATTTACATCTGTTTTGTAAAGCCTGACAAGAACAGAGCTACAACCTTGCTCAAGAGGAAGACCTTTCTGCGCTCTTTGCAGAAAATGGCATGCACGCCCGAGCAGAAAGCAGCGGCCCGACTACAAACATCTACCTCTGCATGTTTTCTGTCGTGAAGGATTTCTACAGACGATCCATACGCGAATGGCCGTCCTTGACAAATCTAACAGCTGCTGAAGAAAAGCAGGAGAATACATATTTCTTTATAATTACAGTAAGTGTTTTGTTAAAGTTACATCCATTTTTAGCCTTGCAAGGCGACACCCACAATGCACAGCCTTGCTCAAGAGGGAGACCTTTCTGTTCTCTTTACACAAAACGGCACATTCAGCAGAAACAACAGCACGGCGCCAACACACAAATCCGACTGTGAAAAATCACAATGCCATTACCAGAGAAATAAATGATGTTCGAGACATCTGCTCCAAAGTGGCGTTTCCGCTGCATAACCGCGATGAGAGCCACAGAAAATCATTTGCAGTCGTCAGAATGGTCTTTTGAGTCGGCTGCCTAAAAAGGTCACGCCGTCGCCTGTTAGAATAAACATTTCCTTGACTGTGTGGTCTCTCCTCAGTCCTCCAAAATTTCTCATCATTCCTTTGTGGCTTTCTCACCACAGGGAGCCATTAGGAGCGTACACAACGTCTCCCAAGGAAATGGACGGCGCTCATTGTCTATCACACGTCTGTCAAGCTCCTCCTGATTCACTCTTTGGTACATATCTACATTAATCTTATTCAAGCCAAGTGTTGTGTGTAAAACTTTGGTAGTCACTGGGGAAAAGATGAGGAAACAAAGGAAACAATAATAATAATAAAGGGTTTCTCAAGCAACCAAACACTCCCATGTTTGTGACCTGCGTTTCAGGCTGACGCTCCAAAACGGTGGAAAACTGAAGCAAACTGGTCCCTCCTGCAACGTTAACGAAGCACTAAACTCCTGCAGTAATGACAGCAAATTGCAGGTTAGTTTGTGAGATTCCGGCTTTTACGATTTTAACATATTACATATTCAAATTCGTACAGTATCTTTAATTGTACAAAATAAAATGAGCAGTGAATTTATGACCAGGACAAACATGTGGGTTATTAAAAAAAAAAAAAAGCATGTACAGTTGATAAAAACAATGCAGAGAGGAGAACTAATTCACTGTTAATGCCCCAGACTTGTTGCTCGTTAGTGTATAAAATATTCCCCTCCTGTTTAAACAGCTATTAACAATTTAAATAACCCTGGCACAGAGGCCTTGCTCTGACTCTCTTGTTAAAGATCCCCGTCCCCAAAGGTCCATTTAACAAGCCCATTATTCCATTACATTACATTTACATCAGCACCAGAGAGCCTTAATTTAACTTGTTCCTCTAATGTAACTGTAGAAAAGAATTAATATAGGAAAGTTGAAGGCACAAATTAGATGGAGAGGAAAATAATGTCTGTTTGGAATTCTTTCCTTTAAATACGTGGACGGACGACTGACGCAGCAGCTCGGCTTCATCTCAGCTCAACGCTTCAGCCTCTTGGTCATAATTATAAGGTGGCCAAAATCTGTTTAGGCACTAATGCCTGTTAGTGTGTGAGCTGATGTAACCGCTAAGAAGCACCATAAAATGAGTCGAAGACGTTCATCAGCTTATAGAGAGAAAACCACGATCATCGATCATGTTTTAAGTAAAAACACTAAACTTTCATCAGTTCCAGCTTCCTGAACAGAGAGCAGCTTTTCTCAAGCTCGGGACAAACGTGAAGACAAGCTGAACCCATAAAGACCGGACCAGCACTCATAAAGACCGCTGCCACCAGCGTGCACGCTTTTCTTTCACAGTCAGGAAGCAGCATAAACGTTCTGACTGAATGAACACAACACAGAGAACAACTGGCCGGCAGAGAGCCTGCAGAACCCGACCGGCCCGTGTTCTGGCACCGAAACAAACACGGACATCAAACGGCAGCTTGACCTGTTAATATGACATTTACTCTGAAAGAAGAGAAACACGGGAGAGAAAGTGTTTGGTGGCGATCAGAGACGGACCGAGTCCAGAGAAACCCGGATGTGAGTGGACCTGCTACAGGATGCTGCTGACAGTAAACTGAATAACACACCACCATCTGTAGGACACAGTGTTTCACCATTCACTGACATGTTAAAACAATTAATTAGGAATAAAAACTGTATTATTCATATGTAATATTATATAATATGTAAGGTGTTTCCTCTCACTGTCTCATGTCAGGAGGAAACCTCACAGAAGGATTTATAACATAAATATCACATCTGTGCAGCTCAGCTCAGGATAATGCTGCTCAGGAAGGCCACGGTTCTGGTTCCATCCAAACCTCTACAGTCTTCACTTCCTCCAGTCCGTGGACACATTTAATTGGAGACATCATCTATTTTACACGAGCTGTTTCATAGCAGCTACACACCGTCTAAGGGCCTCTGTCCTGCTTTCTGTGTTGCATTGCTGTCTAGCTGCCTGTGTCCCCAGAGCCTAAAGGGTACAAGACCTGACAGTGGTGTGCTCTGAGCTTCAGCTCCTTTTCATTAA